CTCCTCCTCCTCCTCCTTCTTCTTCTTCTTCTTCTTCTTCTTCTTCTTCTTCTTCTTCTTCTTCTTCTTCTTCTTCTCCTCCTCCTCCTCCTCCTTCTTCTCTTCCTCCTTCTCCTTCTTCCTCTTCTCCCTTTCTTTATTCTTCAGGCTTGCCAAAGTCGGTGCACCTGATCCACCTCGAGCTTCCTCCGATGACCCACCGGTGGATTGGAGTCTTCTTTTAAATTGGAAGGGGGGGGGGGGAACAAAAAAGCCTCCTCTGCTGACAGCTGATCAGTCTGATCATGTGTGCACTACCATCTTCGCCCAAACACAACGCACCCTTATTTTGGCTGTACCTGACCGGAAATATAGCTTTGATACATTCATTATCAGGGTGCATTATCTTCAGGAAAAGACGGTAGGCCTAGAAAGTCTGTTTGCAGACCTGACAGCATGCCTGTGTTTCTGAAACAATCATTTGAACAATATATATAATAACTTAAGTAACTATTGATAATTTAATACTATTTAATGGCATTAAATTATCAATACAACAGTCTTCATGATTCAAAAGCTTTTTTAAAGTTTTTTTTCTCTCTTTTTTCTAAGCAACTGTAATGCTCTGTCGAAAGGAGGTTTACGGTATTTACAAAAAGAAGCAAAGACGAGTGGGACCATCATGTCAATCCTTCACAGCAAGCAAAGACATGATGATTCGAAAGCAACTTTTTTTTTTTTTTTTTTTGTAAGCAACTGTAATGCTCTGCCGGAAGGAGGTTTACGGTATTTACAAATTGAAACAAAAACGTCTGTCTAGCACAGAAGGAGTCAAGGCTAGATTTGCAGTCTCACTCTGTGCCAAGTGGGACCATCATCTCAATCCTTCACAGCAAGCAAAGACCTGATGATCCAAGACAAGGACTGACATGAAGAGATTCAAAATCATTCAACAATCAACAACCTCAATGACAACATGGGATTACACCTAGTATAAAAAAAAATAGCAACAGCAAAGGCACAAGACCCCCCTCCCCCCCCCTTTCTCTCTCTCTCTCTCACACACACACAGACACACACACACACACACCTGTCTCTTATACACATCTAGATGTGTATAAGAGACAGCCCTACCCCTCCCCCCTCATCCCTACACTGCCTCCACCGAGGCGAGCCTCCCGCTCTCCCTCGGCCCCAGTATAGGACCAACCCTCTGCCCCTTT